GACTAAAGAAGTAATATAATTTTTTCTGTTTTCCATTATGCAATTTTAAATTATTTTCAAAGAAATTTGTTTTCAATATTAAATCATATTTGTGTGTTTGAATTTAATTCGAAGCCCGCATTTGAAAACAGATTTACATACCCTCGGCTGTGGCTGAGTATACAGAGGTACTTGCTGTTACTTGTTCGATTCCAGCAGATCCCAAGATGCTAAAATGTGTATACAAATTTTTGTTTTGTATTTCCAAACTATAAAAAAGAATTCGTCAAGCGCAGAATATATCGCCACCTTAGAGTGAAAAGTTACTAAGTCCCCTTTAAAACATTTTACAGAAGAGGAGAAAGTATTTCGCAGAACTTTGAACACAACATTTTCCGTATTTAAAGCAAAGCAAAACTCCATAACAATCAGAAGGATTCGATCATTACGAGGGCCGGAAAGTTTAAGCTTTTGCTTGAAGTTGCTTATTTTGCTTATTCAGGGTTTCCAAGCTTAATTTTAACGACCAGGCTTATTTTGCTTATTTCAATGTATAAAGCTAAGTACAGACCTTTTAAGTAAATGGTCAAGAAATAAATTGCTATTAAATATTTCGTGTGTATGAATAGTAGTGTCCAAGGGGCTTGATATCTGACATTCTACAGCCTGCTGTCTCACTTTTTCATTAAGAAATAATGGAGCGGGCATATATTTCTATTGAAAACAAGGATGTATTGTACTCTTCACAAACAAACTTTAGCAAACCAAAGCGGAAAGCGTAGAAAATTTCTTAGGAACTTCGTACTGCTTAAGAAAATTTGGCTCAATAAATTTATTTTGAAATTTCTTGTGATTTTTTTTATTCGTTGAACTAAATAAATGTTAACAAATAATAACATAAAAACAGATTTAGTTTTTATTAATCTGTAACTTCAATTGCATTTCTGCTTGGATACAAAAATTTAAAACCAATGGTTCGTCTCCACGAGAATGCATTGGTGTTACTGAAGAGATTTTCATAATTTATCCCAAATGGAGAATAACGAATATCTAAAAAAATTTAAACGACCAACGCATATCGCCATTATTTGAGAATATCAAGCAACACATGTATGTCCATTAGATTTTTTCAGTCCTTGAAATAAACTGAATAAAAATCAAACTGTACTTCAGTTTTTTTTTTTTGCTTTGCGAGCATATTTGCAAGCATATTTACCAATGTTTTAGTGCTTATCTAAGCGCTTAAAATGGATGTTTTCGTCCTTATTTTCTTCGGCCCTTGCCTTACAAGTACCTAACACCCCACTTCAAAACGATGTATTTTTAATTTCTCTTGCTTTCTGTATCAAAATATGAGTTTTCAAAAAAGTGGAGTTTTGGAAAACCGCCCATCGCCCAATTTCGAAACCGCCTATCTTACGGCACTCAAATTTTACAGGAGAGCGAAAAAACGGTTTATTCTTTGAAGGCATTGCCTTGATAGGCGGTATTGTCTCCAGCTATTATTTTACAAATCTGTTGTTTAAGTAACGATTTTTATGCATAAATCTGGATGCCTGGAGTTCGGGGTTACCAAATCTCAATTTTGTCACAACGGCGATTTTGGCGGTTTTGCAAGTGGTCGATAGGCGGTTTTGCAAAGACATTGATGATAGTTTGTGCTTTTACAAAAACCGAATAAATTCAAGTGTCAAATCTTGGGCAATTTTTAAAAAAAGCAACAAAGTTTCTTAAAAATATTCCATGTTTTTAATTACATTTCTTATTAAGGTTTTGAGTATGCAGTTTTGTAGCCCATTCAATTTTAGAATAACCAAGTGCAAGTTTTGAGTAATTACTGTTATAATAGAGTTCTCAAATAGACGGCGTTGACTTAGGTACCTTTTTTTGCTTCTATACGTTCATTGCTTTAATAAATTCAATTATATTTAAATATATTGCCAGGAATGTATTTCAAATAACATAAAGTAATTTAAAAACAAATAAAATTTTGGCTTTCGTCCAGCTAGTTCTGCTATTCAAACCACCGTGTGATATGTTGATTTAAAAAGTAAACTAAAACCGTTTTTTTAAGTACCACATTTCGCTACTTTTCCACTGGTCTGGATCTATTTACTTTCGGACTGGTTCGATACAAATCTAGTACGGAACTAAAAATTTGGTTCACTAGTTCGGGGTTTCCCTTTAGGGAGTTCATGTATATGTACATATGTGCATTCACACATTTCCATAAAAATGTAAATATATACGCGCTTACACACATCTACTTCTTCGTTATTTTAACTGACCTGGCTGAACTCGGATAAATAGCCGAATTTGTCTTGTTGCTTTGCATGTATTTCTTTACTTTTATGAGTGTTCTTTTGTAGCTCGCTTGCAAAAGAATGCACCTATTGTGTGGTATATTTTTGGGGGTTATTTTAAAAATTTTAGTGCACAATGCAAAGTGCACGTTCTTTATCACTGTGCTGCTGTAATAATGAAAAACAGCAGAAAGTAAAAACGGACAACACAAACGCGCCAACGATTGACTACCGCGCACACGAGCAAATAACCAGTGTTGCCATTTTGGGCCTTTTGGAGCTAGATTTAGCTCTTTATTTTATTTACCTCCGAAACCTAGGTTTTAGCTCCTGACTCTTTTTTAGCTCTTTTCAAATTTGTCTAGCGCTTTTTCAGCTCCAGAAAGTTTTAGTTGTATTTGGTATATATAAGCCAAACTAAAGCGTTGATAAAATGGAAAATTTCGAGATGCAGTGTATCCACCATAAACTCTTGGATCTAGGTTAAAGAACTCAAAAATTAATTAGAAGCAAACACTTTTTCTGATAGCGCGGGTTTTGTTTTTACCTTACTAATTTTATCTTTAAAGAGAGCTTATTCAATTCAAATATCTGAAATAACAGACTTTAAAAGTTTGTAAAGTAATTTTAGCTCACTTTTATAAGTGCCATAGCAACGAATTCGAAATATATGCACCTTATTTTGGTTTAAAAGATTTTTTCAGCACTTAAACTTATTGAATTCATTGTTTTTATTGGAATTGTCGAAAATGTAAAAACAACCTTACGGCAATAATTGCTCAGCCTTAAAAAATATGTAGCTCTTTATTTTAGCTACTATTAGTATTATTTAGCTCTTTTTTCGACCGTTTTAGATCCAAACGAAATTTCTCTGGCAACACTGCAAATAACCAGCGGCAAATGGTACGCCCCAATATATATATATATTATGTTGTACTGTGATTTTGGACAGCTAAATATAAATGGAAGTGCAATTGCAAATACTTATAATAAAAGTGGTAAAAACAACAACTACATATACATATTTGTGAAATTGTAAAACCAAGCCTTCGGCCAATTTCGCAAAACTATAGGCAGAGAAAGTAGTCGAGGCGGCCTCGAATAAGCGGGCGCATGCAGTAATTTAATTGAAAGCCGTCGAACATTGCATTAAGTGAAAACCTTATGTCCCATCCCAGTTGTGACAGTAGTCACAGGTAGTCGCAACCACAACAAAACTTCAACAATCAAAAGCTGCTTTTTGTTCTGATTGAAAGTTACTTCCCAATTTAAGGAGGGGGAATGAGGACGAGCAAAACTGACAGTAACACGACTGATAACATCAATGTTGACAAGCATTGTCAGCGCGTAGCGGTCATGATACTTTGAACTGCGTGAGCTTCCATAGCCTGTGGATAAAAGTTTGGCCCGCCGCTTTATTGCTTTAATGAGATTCTTAATTGAATGAATTTAACGTCACTTTTGGGCTCGTTCAACATAATGAAGTAATGGAATTAATGCCGTACTCACGAATACTAATTCATACATACTATCTATGTACTAGGGATGTTGTGAATGTGGAATTTTAGACATACGCTTATGCGAATGTGGATGTCAAGTATTTTTAAGAAACAATTAAATTGTCAAGCAAATTAAGTTATTTAGGTAAAAAAAAATTAAAAAAATTATTTACTAGTTTAGTACTTGAATTTAAAAATTGGAACATTTAAGTGGTGCAAGCAGGCGGGGCCTAGCTGAGGCCGAGGTATAAACTCTCCTGCCGCGTCCGGTGGCGGGCCGGATGGGCTCGCACTGGGGGAGCTGGGGGTGGGCATACTGAGGCCATTTCTAGGGGGTACCTGGCGGTAGGTATAAAACGCCCCCCTAATCCAGGGTGTCATGCGTCACCGTGCCCATTGGACGGTTTGCAGTCAGGGGGTTTTCCGACTGTATTCTAACGGCGCCTCCCGGATACCTGTCCGCCTCCGGGAGTAACGGTGGACTTGCTGCGGCATGGGGCTCTGCCGTGGTCGACCGTTTTTTCCCCTTTCCCTTTTTCCGGCCGCCGAAAGGCTTCTGCTTAGTAGGCGGCCAAAGAACTAGATGATGATGAACAAAACAAAAGAAGCCTCGGAACCCTGCACGGGTAGTGCCGCCGCTGGACACGGCGAAGTTAAGTCCAATAAACCCACCATCTCGGGAACCGCATCGACGGCACCGAAGACAGGGCCTACACGGCCCAAACAGATTCGGCCCTCCGCAGATTCTGGAGGGAATGCTAAGCCCCCAGAGGGAAAGCATACTTCCAGCGCTACCGGCAAAATTATACCCCTCGAGGGAAAGTCGTAGGGTAGTAACCGAGCCCAAGTCCTCCACGGACAAGCCGGGAACTACTCCTGTGAGTAAAACAACAACCGGGGCAAACGACCTGGATCGGCGCCCCAGCTGCTCCAAAGCAGCGAAAATAATTCCGCCCTCCGTCAGGGCTCAGCGCGACCGAAGGGCAGCCCCTAAGGTTATTAAAAGACTGGGCGTCATTCCACACGACCAGCTGACGGAGGAGCAAAAGGCCTCCCTCAAGTGGGCAATGGAAGTCTTCGCCGCCAGCAATAAGCGATCCTCCGGGAAGGGCGGTAAGGACATACCATCCACTAAGGGGAACCCACGGATGGACCTAGGCCAAAAGAGACAACGATCTCTGGACGACACCGCGAGTGGATCCAAAAGGCATAGGACTTCCTCTCCCTCTGTCCGTCCGTCCATGGCCGTGTCCACCACGAAGCCATTCAGCGAGGCCGCCAAAGAGCACCTCACGCTGGCGGTGTTGGACAAGGGCCATCCGGACGGCCACATCAGCACGGACAATTGGAAGTCCGTACTGATGGGTCTATGCAGGGTGTATAAGGGGATACTCCAGAAGTATCCCGGCCCTGCACCAGTCGTTCGTGATGCTGGGTGGCATCAGGGGCGGGTAAAGCTGGTGGCGTGTGCAGATGAACGCGCGGTCCGGCTTTACAAGGAAGCGATCTCCACGGTTGGACAGCTGTGGCCCGGGGCAGACTTAGTTGCTGTTCACAGGGATGAAATCCCTAACAGGCCGCGAGCCTGGGCCTGGGTCCCAGCTGAACCATCAAAGCCAGAGGAGATTCTTGAGTTTATCCGACTGGGCAACGAAGGACTGCCCACAAGTGATTGGAGGATAGTCCGAGTTGGCGAGACCAAGGGGAAGCAGCGTTTTGTTGGCTTTGTCATCAACGATGCTTCCGTCCCAGTTCTCGAGGGTTGTGGTGGGGTAATAAGCTACGGCTTTTACTCCATCACGGTGAAAATCCACCGGAAAACGGACCAACAAGGGGAGGAGGCGGGCAACGCCTCGAGCGGACCCACTCCTCCCGATAACTCTACCGACGAAGGGGCCAACAACACAGGCAACGCCTCGAGCGGACCTGGCGCCTCCGAGTCGGCATCGGTGGCAGACAGCGCGGGGTCCACAGGAAACACCACGAGTGGACCTGGGGACCTACCAACGGGTGTACCCGAAACCGCGTCAGATACTGAGAGCGACACGAGCTCAGTATCTGCCTACGTAGGGTCGGTATACAGCCGGTGGGCAATGCTGAACGAGGACCAGCTTCTGGACTCCGAACCGGAGGAGGAGGTTAATGACATCACAGTCATTGCCGCCGCCGAACGGGAGGAGCTAGAAGCGATGGACATCACCGACTCTGAGGATGGTGCAGATCCTACAAATTAATCTGCACCATTCCAAGGCAGCCTCGGCTGCCCTTCTTCTTCGCCTCAGCAATAAAGCTGAGGACTTGATTCTAGTCCAAGAGCCTTGGATCGTTAGAAACAAGGTTTGCGGACTGAACTCTGATGCCTACCAGGTTGTAACAGCTCCAGTAGCAGGTAGGATCAGAGCTTGCATTCTGATTAAAAAAGTATATTCTTATTTTTTACTCTCCCAATACAGCGACGAGGACACTGTCTGCATCAGCGTCCAGCTGAAGGAGAGCGTGATCTGGCTGGCAACATCCTACATGGCCCACGACAGCCATGTTTTTCCACCCTACAGACTGGAAGAAGCTGTGAAGGAAGCAAATCGCAGGAAACTCCCGGTCATAATAGGGGCAGACTCTAACTCGCATAACACGATCTGGGGCTCAAGCGACACCAACTCTCGAGGTGAGTGTTTACTTGACTTTGTTCTTTTATATAATCTTACTGTATGTAACCGCGGGCGCGACCCCACTTTTGTGACCTCTGTTAGAAGCGAAGTGCTGGACATCACCCTTGTTTCGAGCGGTTTGTCTGATCAGATAAGGGACTGGCAGGTGTCCAAAGAACACTCTTTCTCTGACCATCTCTACATTAGCTTTAAGCTCAATTTTGATCCTGCTCCTTTAACAGCATACAGGAACAAGAAGCGAACCGACTGGGCAAAGTATAAAAATACGCTGTCGGTCTCTCTACACAGATACGCTTCTCACGATAAGTCCTGCTTATCGTTAAGATCTGATGAAGCGAGTCTCTCGAATACGAAGGTTGTTTCTCTCGGTGAGCTGGACTCATCGTCAAAAATTGATGAAGCAGTGAACTTTGTGACAAATGCCTGTAATGCTGCTTTCAAAGCCTCCTGCCCAAGCACCCTCCCGAAGGGCAAAAAGAAACCCCAGTGGTGGAATCCTGAGATTTCAGCACTGAGGAAGAACAGCAGGAGGCTTTTCAATCAAGCTAAACGAACAGGTCTTTGGCAACCATACAAAGACGCACTCAAAGTTTTCAAGAAGGCCATAAAGAGGGCGAAACGCGAATCTTGGCAAAACTTCTGCGACAACATAGAAGAGAACTCTGAAGCCAACAGGCTGAGGAAAGTTCTCTCAAAATCTTCTTCAAGTATGAACTCTATCCAGAAGCCTAACGGTGACTGGACGACATCATGTAGCGAAATGCTGGAGGTCCTTATGAGCACTCACTTCCCGGGCTGCTCAGATGACACCCCCGATTTTTCGCCCGGTCCTAGGACCTACTTGTCTCTGGGTGATACCGTTGGGGACATCGTAAGTGAGGAGAGGGTGGAATGGGCTTTAATGTCCTTTCAGCCCTACAAATCTCCTGGCCTTGACGGAATCTTTCCCGCTCAACTACAGGAAGCTAAGGACATACTGTGTCCCATGCTTTCTCAGATTTTTACAGCCTGCCTAACTCTGACTCACATACCACACGAGTGGACAAAGGCAAAGGTTGTATTCATACCAAAAGGAGGCAAGGCCGCTCATGTGAAACCGAAGGATTTCAGGCCTATAAGCCTCACCTCGTTCTTCCTCAAAACTCTAGAGAGGCTCATCGACGAATATATTCGACGGAATATTAAAGCTGACAGCCTCTCCTCGAATCAGCATGCATATTCCAAGGGGAAATCCGTGGAGACCGCACTCCATGAAATCGTAGCGACGATTGAAAAAGGATTGGCCTTAAAGGAATACACGCTCGGAGTTTTTCTCGATATCGAGGGTGCTTTCAACAACGTCTACCCGAAGTCTGTTGTTAACTCCCTTCTTATGGCGGGGGTGCAGCGAGGTCTGGTGGATTTTGTTGAGCTCCTTCTCGGAAAGAGAACTATTCTATCAGAACTAGGGGATGGTTCCATTACAAAGTATGTGACCAGGGGCACCCCCCAAGGGGGCGTTCTCTCCCCTCTACTCTGGAATCTAACAGTGAACACCATACTTCTAAGCCTAAAGAGCACCGGTTGTCAAGTCATAGCGTACGCCGATGACATAGCAATCGTTGCAACGGGCAAACATCTTCAGGTCCTGAGTGAGTTGTTGCAAAACGCACTCGGTCTGGTAAACATCTGGTCCAAGGAATGTGGACTTAGTGTCAATCCTGCCAAGACAGAAATGGTACTTTTCACAAGGAAGTATAAAACTCCCTTATTTAAACCTCCCGCCCTAAACGGGGTGGCACTCACTCTCTCAACCGAGGTGAAATACCTTGGTGTTATTCTGGACAGGAAGCTGAACTGGAAGCGAAACACTGAAGACCGCTCCAGGAAGGCCAATACTGCCCTGTATGCCTGCAAAACGGCTATAGGCAAAAAATGGGGAATAAAACCACATATAGTACACTGGATGTACACAGCTGTGATAAGACCCATCCTTTTCTACGGGGTCACCGTATGGTGGCCTGCTCTAAACAACACCGTATCCAGAGCCAAGGTGGAACGTGTGCAGAGGACGGCTGCCATGCTCGTCACGGGAGCCCTGCCCACTACACCCACCAAATCCCTGGAAATAATCTTAAATCTTCCACCTGTGGATCTCTACGGCAAATTTCAGGCCGGCTGTAGTGCGGCCAGGCTAAATACAATCCAGCCGTGGAGAGACCTCAGATTCGGGCACGCAAAAGTACTTGAAACTCTACCGGATAATCTACGACAGATAGATTATACCACTCCTCTACTCTGTTTAGATAACAAATTCTCCACAAGAATCCCAGAGAGGAACGAGTGGGAAAGGGCCACAGACCTGAACCCAGGGTCTACGGCCATATATACAGATGGTTCCAAGCTAAACAAAAGAGTGGGTAGCGGGATCTACTCTGACGAACTCGCGCTAAATCTCAGTTTTCGCTTACCGGACCATTGCAGCGTTTTTCAAGCGGAATTAAACGCCATAATGGAGGCGGCTCGGTGGCTTATAACCTCCGCCCCTCCAGGACGGCCTATCTCTATCTATTCTGACAGCCAGGCTGCTATCAAATCTCTCAATTCTAACGAAGCAACGTCCAAAGTAGCCATCGAATGCAGAAATACTCTCAACCTGCTGGCATCAAAATGCTCCTTGACTGTTGTATGGATCCCTGGACACAGGGACATCCTTGGCAACTGCCTAGCCGACGAGCTGGCAAGGAGGGGGACGCAACTTTCTGTAGTCAATTCTGCTCCGAATGCGGGCATACCTCTAACCTCCTGCAAACACAGACTAAAGGCGAAACTCGTTGAGGAGGTAAATATAAGATGGGCTGTGGAAACCACCTGCCATATTACCAGGCAAATATGGCCAAAGATTGATGTAAAGCGATCCATAGCTCTCACCCGGCTGGACCGCTCCTCTCTCAGATTAGTAGTCGGGGTAATCACCGGACACTGCCTGACACACACGGAAAAAGGTTGGGATACCTCACCAACGATTTCTGTCGCAGTTGCAGAGACGAGGAGGAGGTGGATACCATCGAACACTATCTCTGCCACTGTCCCGCCCTGTCCAATATGCGCAACCAATTCTTCAACAAGTACTTTGTAGATTGTTTAGCCGATTTGAACTCGGCGAACGTTCTCGACTTTTTGTGCTATATAAAACGCACTCGGTGGTTCAATTACTAAGGGAGGGAAAGAAACAAATGGCTTCGGCCAGTGGTATCACAACGGGCTTTTCCAGCCCACGTGTGCTCCGCGTTCTGCGCGGGGCAGCCACTCTAACCTAACCTAACCTAACCTAGCCATTTGACTTTGGCTGAGATTGTGACATCAAAATCAATCTACCAGATTGAACACAATAATAAAATTTTTTCTGAAAATAATTTGATCGTTTGATCAACAATGGAAAAAATAAAATAGTTTTTTAAAAATAGTAAAAAGAAAAATGAGTTGCGCATTTTAAACCTGCAAAAATACCACTTAACGATATCGTATTTGATTGGCTGGAAAATTTTTCAGGTTACCTTGTTTCGGAAAGACCTTGTTCCCTTGTTTCGCAATTCGGTTTCAGGACGAGTGAAGGGAAAGACAATAATTTACTTTCGTTAATTGTATGTCTGAAGCAGAGTTGGGCAAAAGTTGTTTAAATCACGTATAACAAATGAATAAATTGTTTTTCTCGTTATTCGTAAATAATAAATAACTATGTTTATTCAAAGAAAAATTATTCGAATGACGGATAAATTGTTTTATTCGTTATTCGAATAATTATTATCTTCATTAATTATTCGAATAACAAAGAAAATAATAATAAAACAAGTAATCTATGTATATAGATATGTACATATATTTATGTATAAAATTATAGCCGTTTTCGTTGTTCGGAATATACTCAAACCCCTGGATTGATTCAAGTCAAATTTTCGGAGGCTATTCCCTGCGCATAAAGTGCTATTAAAGGCTACTAGAAAATTCGTTGGCGGCGATGGAGCCGAGTTATTTATAAGCGCTGTATTTTTTATTTGTACACACAAAATTTTAAACCTTTCATTTGTTTGGAGTAAAATTTAATAAAAATTATAATTGAAATAAATATAATACTTAGAAATTTAACTTAGAAATCAAAAAATCTATAGTTCTCCAAGTTTCAAAGTGAAGTTGTTTTTTGGGTAACTATATACACGCGCTGCTCATTTGCCAGATATACAATTTTCAAGTCAAGTCAAGTCCAAAAGCCTGATTGTGGCAACTTAACTTTACTTAACGTAATGTAGATTTTAAAGAATGAAAATGAAACACATTTCGATGCGGCATTAAGTTACGTTAAGTTTCGGCAGTTCAATTATAAGCAACACCCATTTAACAGAATTTTGTAGAGAGAGCCGTAAGTTATGTTAAGTTGCCATAATCAGACCATAAGTCTTGCATAACTGAGCTTTCATTCTCATTCCTTTGGCTGTTTCAGAATTTGAGGAACCTGTAACGTCATCAGCGTTTTTTTTGTAGTTTTTGTAATGCATTTTTAATAATTTCTTCTGCGACTAGTTTGAAAAATTTGTGCTTATAGCGAGCTAAATATGTAGGTGGATTTAGAAAATAAATTATTATTTTCCAGGAATGAAAATTTTTAACAAAATGCAGTTTTCAAAGTCGTTGCTACCAGCCGAATCGTATCAGAATATTGTTAATTTTTTATAAGCATTTGAAATATTGATATCACGGATGATGAGGGTCTCATATAGTTATATTATTCTTACCTAATTAAAAGTCAGACCTATAGCTTTTTAATTATTTGAGCATCGATTCTCTTTATAGCCCCACGTTGACCATTTCTGCTGGAAATCTCTATGGATGGAGTTTACTCTTTGACTTTAAAAAGCAAAAAAGGCAAACGTATGGGGAGAGTTTTACCACAGAAGTTTTTGGCCAAGGATATCTGTATGGAAAATATATTGCCCAAAAAGTAAACAAACTTATTGTTTTTTTTTTAATTTTTGCAACAGATAAATACCCCAAAGAGCCCCATTTGGAATGGTTGAAACGAATATATGTAACCTCAAAAGTAAAACACGAAAATATGGTTTAAAGTTACAGTGCACACTTTCTTCTTTTATGTCTAGTAGCTTCTTCAAGATGGGTCCAAAAAAATCATAATGATAGAAGAAACCAATTCAGGTATTTAAAGCACAGAAAAAAAGGATCAGTCCAGGGCCTTCGTCTTGACCTGCAGGCTGTGTCGGAGTCACAGGTGCTAAAGTTAAGCGTAGAACACGTGATATTATAAAGATCACATTCAAATTAAAAACAGTACATGAAAAACTCGTTTTGATTGTATTGAATTGAACTTAATAAATCAATATGAATTGGAAAATATTAATAATTAGCAATAAAGAAGCAGATCGGCATTAACTTCAATCATGTGTACCCTCAGGTTATAGATAGATATATGCCATGACGTGTATGACTACTGCGATTCATTTATATTTCCTAGGTCCCCGTATAGTATTCTTCGCATTATCTTCGTCTTCGGATTTGTGCATAAGTTAGATAAGACTTCTGAAACAGCTAGGGTTGCCAAATATAGTTAAGAAATAAACAAATATCTTGCGTCTGATATTGTGATACCTACATATTTTATGTGGCTGAAGAATTAAGTTAAACTTTATTTTGAAATACGTGACAATGCTCCTAAATACCGTTCGGAAATAAGGCCTTTTTAAACTCATTTTATTTGATACCCATATTTTTAATAATTGCCTTTGTTTATTAAATAATTTGAGTTTACCTTTTTAAACAGGTGGCAACCCTCTTTAATGTTATTAATATCCAAACTAAGGATATCTTACTACCTTCGTTTCACGTCATGGTTTAATATTTCATTTAACTTATGCATACTTTAATTTAATTTTAATTTTAAAAGAGGTGGCAACCGTATTCAAAATATTTTA